TCTGTCATCATCACACGGCTCAATCCACACCTTATATTATAATTATACTCATCATGCAGGATAATATATGACATGATGTTGTAATAAGCAGCATGAGGTTTAGTTAAGTGTCACGTTCGGAGGTTGAAATGGAAATTCACTTGTTTTATTAAACTTTATATCAGAACTGTAGATTCAGGCTTTTGCAGAAGCTCATGATGTGTAATCGATGTTCGATGTGTCGAAGGCGCAATGACATGGTTTAGTTTCACATGTGTGATTAATAAGAAGAAGGATTTTTGTGTGAAGTTTGCAGGTTCTCCCCCCCTGTGTCTAAAGACATGCAGACTGGGCTCAGGTTCATCCGAGACTCTAAATTGACCGTAGACGTGAGAGTGAATCCTTTTTCTGTCTCGTTGAACCTGTGAGACATCGGCCGACTTGTCCAGGTTTGTACCCCACCTCTCGGGATAGACTCCAAAAGGAAAAGTGGAAGAAGGGGTAAAGATGAAATCTTACAAATCACAACATACATTTCCTCAAGACTTTTCACATAGAAAAGTCGAGAGCTTATAATATTATGACTGTATATGTGTAAAATGTCTCTTCGAAGGGGAGCAGACCTTCAGTAAGATCAATAAAATGAGATGCAGTTATATCGGCTGCACTGCTGTTTGCTGGGATGGTTTGATGAAGTGAGTTTCATTCCTTCACGTCCTCTTTCATTGTGTTGCTGACACAGTCTGAGCAGCAGATGATTCAATCATCTCATCTCTGACCTTTAATTTGCAGAATCTCTCTGTCTTCTCTCCTCGGAGATGCTCCTCTTGCGCCGTCTCTTGATTCCACTGTATCTCTTTTTTCCTGAGAACTAAACGAGTCATTCTCTGAACTTATCTGATTGCGTCATGTACCCGCAGCCTGAAGGCATCTGGGTTAGGTGGAAAATGTCCTGAGACATCTCCTCGATCAACTGTAGCTCAGCGTGTGAATCAAAACATTGAATAAAACTGCTTCTAAGTGTCAAACAGGATTTCGACCGACACGCTCTTGTTGTGTTTCAGCAAAGTCACTTTTAAAAAGAACCATAATCAGAGAGAAATATAACTCAGAGAGCTAAACACACGTTCCTCTCATGTTCCTCAGCTGTAATTTAAATAGTTCCAGCTGGGTTTGTCTCCAGGCTCCTCACGACACTGGAGCAGGGCGACTAAAGACGGGTCTGCAGGCAAAAGTATTTTTCATGCTGCAGTATATGCAAATCCAGCCCATCACTCATGTAGGTGTCGAAGGAAACGTCTGGGACCTGTACAATGAAGCAGGTTCAACATATCCAGGGTATGTTTTCATGATCTGGCTTCACTGAGCCTAACATCGACCGTCCTGGATGAAATACACCACAAAGCTGGTCATCAACATTGTCAGAACCTTCAATACAAATTGTCATGACGTGAGAAGAAACGTCGATACCTGCCGAGTCCGTTTTAGTGACAAAGAAAAAGATCAATAATACGAACAAATGACACTGGAAGGGAGGAGAAACATTCAAAAGGAGTTTTGATATTCTAAGTCAGGCGAATTCAAAACTCTAAACATGCAGAGGAATTTAATCAGATATTTGCCTGATGAAGAAACTGTGATGAACAGAGGCCGAATTAATGTCAGACTGTTTCTGCTGCTAAAGCAAAGAGGATTGAGTTGATGTGTTTATATATTGTGATAAATTCTCCCTCTGTTGATTAGAAGCTGATCTGGTTTGTCAGTAGTTGAACCATCGGCAGGTTTTGATTCGTTATCTCAAACTTAATCTGCTCCGGTACCGGTTCAGTTACCGTGGTGATTTTGTCAGGTTTTATGGAGCAGGTGATGCAGAAGCCAAATGTACAGTATCACAAAAAAAAGTGTACTTTAACTAAGGCAAGATTGAACAAACAAAAGGTCACAAAAAAGTGGACACAGGTGAAACAATGATGGGACAACTGGGAAACAGGACAACGACAGGAAGACAAGGTGGAGACACAGGAGGAGCAAAAGCTACGAAATAAAAAAAAACAACGTCTAGACTCCAGAGACAGATTTACCCTGAAAACAAGTAAACCTGTTTTGTAACAATGAAAGAACCTCACGTTACCCTGAAAATGAAAATGGAAATAGATTTGGTATACGTGTATTTTTCCATGTTCACAGAGCCACAGGCAGACAAGACAGAACACATCCTGTTTTCTTTTGCCTCGTCTCAAGAGGACATGTTGACATAAGGAGATCTGAAAACAGGTCTCCAGGTCGTTTTCAACTCATTTATTATCCTCG